CCAAGCTCAGAGAACCCCAAGGACCCCACAGTTCAACCCTGAGCTACACATACTCGCTTCTATTGCTCAACACTGTTACCATGGCTTCTGTCCTGCTCAGGAGATAACACTTGAGAGGGTTTCTTGACATTCTTGCAACTAGAGAACTTGGTTAAACAAAACAAAATATATATAAGCATACCTCATTCTCAATGACTGTGTGGACACAATATACTCCACAAGACACTATATTAAGTCAAGGTGCCGTTTTTACCCTCAGTAAATGCACGCAGCCCTTAATTGAAGCACCATCTTACAGTACTGTTTAAACCCCAAATGGATGTCTATTATATTTTACATGCAAAAAGGAAAAAAAAATCTCCACAATATACACGTCTCATATATGAACCATCCAGAGTCACTGAGAATCGGTCAGCATATAAATTTAATAAATTATTATTAAACTTAGTCTTATTATATACTTAAATGCTATAGAACTCAGGATACCTAAGAGGGCAAAAAACATATCCCTATCAGTTTATTAGACCAAGTTAATTGCTAAATGCGTGGTCATCCGAGCGGAACTTTAGGCAATAAAACGTTTGTTCAAGCACATAAAGGGAGGTTCTTCAGCCCCCTTCATAACTGACGGAGAGCGTGCGCTCTAATCCTTCCTCAAAGGTTGCTTTGATGGGCGGGTAACGAAAAGCGCCAACAACCGTAACCGGACAATCACTTCTGGCGATAGGAGAACTCTGACGCCGGGGCAAATCTTTTAAATGCCGAGGCAGGGCGGAGCAACAAATTGGTCGGGTCTCGCCCCCTCGAGCCTCCAAGGAGAAAGTGGGCGGGTGGCTGCGCCTCGGTCTTCCCCCGGAGCCGCAGGAGTGGCGAGGAGAGAAAGCAGGAAGGGCGGGATGGATTTGGGGGCCGCGCAATTTCAAGAAAAGTTACCTGGGTTACAGGAGCTCCTACTGGGCTGCGACTTTGTTGGTGAGGCAGGGTGATGGCCGTGAGGCAGGGGGTTGCATGCGGAAGGCCCTCTAGAAATGGAGGGCGACCTTCCCCATCTATTTAGGTTAACTGTGACAGAGGGGAGCCCTGTTGCCCACACACGTCCATCCCTATACGTGTTAACTTTGATCTTAGCTGCTGTACGAATAGTACATTCCTCCTTAAACTTTGGAAGGTGTTCTAAACGGAGAAAACTGCTGTTGACTCCAAAAAAGCTGCGGGATCTACTTCACTGGCTTATCAGGATCTGCTTAGATGGGGACAGGATTGCTGACTGAATTGCTACTGGCCCCTTTGAATGACTTACTGGCTGGGTTTATGGAACCAAAAGACTATATGAAATAAAACAAAAAATAAAATACTCTTTGTGAACCCTGCCAGTGTAATTTGTACACCATGGTTATGTAAATCATACTGGCTTGTTTAGTAGCTGATGGAGCAAACCATGGCTTAGTATATGTGACCACAACCATGATCTCAGTCTATTTTACAGGGTGGTTGTAAGAGGGATATAAGCAGAGGATGTGTGTGTGTGTCTGTGTGTATAAATTAAATATAGTAAGTAAACAATTTTACCAAGATGAGTTGTATGTAGATAGGTATCTAAGTTACTATAGATTATGCCTCCTGATTTTGGAAAGGTTGCTTTGTCATCCTCAAGAAATCTTGCAGAGCTCCTTCATTCCTTCCTGGCCTATATAGAATTTTGAGAGTTGTAGCCAGATCAGTATTTCTCTAATAGAATTTTAAGCATTTAATTCTAAGAAAGCTCCCAGAATTTTTTTGTCAAAATTATGCTAAGTATATACAATGATACTTTGCCTCTGTGCTACCAAGAGGAGCAAAAATACTACCTTGTTTTGTGATTTAAAAATAAATTACCTCCCAGGGCAAATGTGTTGCTCCAAATTTATAAAGTTTGCAGTTAGTATCCCACAATAAAATAAATCCTTTATTCATTGTTTTCATAGTGTGATTATCTGGACATCTTGGATCTGTCATCCTCCTCTTTTATGGCATTCCATATCTGAATCTAGTAGAATTGTTGCTAATGTTGCTTAAAATCGACTGATAATGGTATAGTAAAAGTAATTAGCACTAGCAACAATGTGAATGCAAGAATTTTGCTAGAACTGATAGGAAAAATATAAAGCACATTGGAGAGTCTCTGTATGAAATGTAGTGTGCACTGCCAGTATGATAGGTGAGAAGATACTGCAAATGATGGTTTACTTTGTGGAGATTAAGGAACTGGACAGAAAACCTGTGTAGTTTATTAAAATATCTATAATTGAATTCACTTTACAGAACAATCCTAAATGTTTACATCTCTCTGATTTTTTAAAAATAAGATCTAAATTATTTCATTGTTCGCAGCAAGGTAGAAGGCTGGTATAGTAGTGGATAATCCTTTGGCTTTTCACCACCTCTCAGCACCCCTCTTTCAACCTCACTTGGATTTCATAGCCACAAAGTGATGAAGTTATTGAAAAGGGGAAACCTAAAGAATCTTATGACCTCAAAAACTTTAGGATTGCAGCCATAAGCATCTTGCACAATAGATCATGAAGAAATCCATCCATCCTTTGAAGTTTAGGAGCACGTTACAACTACATGTATACTTTTTCAACTTCATTAACATATATAATATGAATTAGTATAGATAGCATAAAAAGCTATATATGTAAGATTGAGATATATCAATTAAATAAAGCTTCGTATTTCATCTTGTAATAATAGTGGAAGGTACATGTTCTGTCTGTCTTTTGCAGGCCTTGATATGGAATTCACAGGTTTGCATTCAGCTTTTTCATCTGATAGACACCCCAGGTAAGCTTATTTAAATAAATATATTTTCCAGTGATGTCCCCATAGGAGACTAGGAACATGATGAACAACAACATGGAAATCCTTCATATCTTTTTCCCCCCAGTCTCTTTGATTCACCTGCTGAGTGGTATCAGAAAGCCAGACAGAGCGTTCAGCGGTTTACAGTGAGTCAACTTGGTGAGCTCTTCTAGTTTCTAAAAGTTGGGTCTTCTAACATATGTATCCTGCTGAGCACCAGAAGCATGGTGGATTGATAGCAGGATCTGAATGAGAACAGTTCTTTTCTGCTTCAGTGGAAGATTTAAATGAATGTTCATGTCCAGTTTAAAAGGTGGCAACCAAAAGTTAGAAATACTACAATATCCGAAACAAAATCCCTTTCAAGTTCACCTTAATTTCTCAATACTTTTTTTTGCTTTTATTTAAAAAGAATACATGTTGTGAACTTTTCCTCTTTTCCCAAATGTGTTTTGAGATGTATCTATTAAAGGAAACTGACAGAAAATTATGCTACATATAAGAATGTAGTGAATGTGCAATCCTTATGTAGGCATGACAGACAAACCATCCCCACACTCACCCAAGATAGTCGATCCATAAATCTCTTACACATAAAATCAACACCTAGATGATGGAGGTGAGGGAGGGAATGGGAAACCCAGAAACCTCCAGGGAAACAAAGGTTTAATTGCTCCTAAGTTTGTAATTAAAAGTTGGAAGTCTGCAAGAAGCATGGATTTTCTAGGGAACCATTAAATGAATCACAAAGTAACATAAATCAGTAAGAATGCACAATCAGGAGTTTATGCTTTATTTTATGAAGGATTATTTGCCTTATTCCCCTTGATATCTTGATTGTTTCTCAAAACTGTCTTTAGTAACTTGTATCTGAAGCAGGCTGAGGTCACGGTATGTTTTTATTCCATCTCAAACTTTGAACCTCAGATCCCACCCAGTGTGGATTTGTGCCCAGTCTCCCCATAGTGTTTTATAAGAGATTGATGTTTGAGACTCTTTATGATTTTATTAGCCTTACCTGCCTTATTCCAGGCTCCTGTAATTGCCTTGGGCATTTGATTACCCAATTTTACTTTTTCTTATTTTTAATAAAGATTATATCAAATTTCTAAGGTTCAGTGAATTATACTGAGATGCCCCAAACAATTTTCCCCCTATATAAGGGAATGAAGCAATATCCCCATTGACTGACATAGGATGGGGAGGGAAATTCCCAGGCCTTATTAGCCAATAAGACCTTGCAGCTGGTTTTGGTAGTCAGTGGTGGACATCTTGCTTCATTGATTTGCAGTGAGGGACTTGCACTCTTCTGCTGAAAATAAGGTGGAGGTGGAGGAGCTCTTCCATCTATACTATTTCTTTAGTAAAGCCAGGAAGTGTACTGGCCAAAGGAGGATAGAACACTAGTGAGGGAGAGCCTGCAGAGGTGGAAGAAGGCAATGATCTCTGGGTGGTCTTTGGAACCATCGTTCACAGTATCCTTCTGGACTGGCTCCTTGGGTTGAGAGAGGAAGGTACCTTATTAAGGAAGGCACCTCCTTCCTCCAGGGCTGGTTCCATTCAGTATTGATAGGAAGGAAAGAAGTCTAGCCCCTGGCCCTTGCTTCGTGTGGGGTCTCAGGGATTGATTCTCTCCCTGTTCCTGTTTAACATCTCTATTAGGCCTCTGGGTGTGGACATCTATCAACATGGATTAGGTAGCATCATTATAGCACAGAACCTACTTGCTTGCAGGACTGCCTGTCTTGAATTACTTCTGCCTGCTCTTGAGCCCAAGCAGTGTCACCTGGTGGGACCCAGGAGATGTGGCTTCTTTGTTGCTGTGCCTACCCTATGGAGCAGCCCCAATGCTGCCTGCCTTTTGGAAGGCTCTGAAGACCTGTTTTTGTTTTTTTCCCCAGGCACTGAGTCAGGAGTTTTGTGCCTGTCATAACTGTTTCTGATTGTTTTGGACTTCTTAACAATGTCTGTGGAGCAATGTGTGTTGGTATATTTTAATTTTTGTTGTTGTTGTTGCTGTTATTGCTGGTTTTTAATGGTGTATGTTACCTAGAGACATACACTGATTGTGTGGTTTTATAAATTGATTGATTAAACAAATAAATATACAAATGGGTTATTGGGCCCCAGTAGAAACTAGATCAAAGAGGAATTCTTGGATATCACCTGAACAAACATGGCCTTCAAGAATATAAATGGGGAAGGGGAATATAATATAGTGTCTGTCTGTCTGTCTGTCTGTCTGTCTGTCTGTCTAGGTATGTGAATAGGTGTGTGTGAGAGAGAGAAAGAGAAATATCAATGCTCTTACCACCAGTGTTGTCTCCTGTTTGGGATTACTGCTGATATTTGGTGCTCAGAAGTTGGCTTTAACTTTTCCTTCTATGTCTGCTGTTACTGGTTTCAGTCAAAGGCTAAAGTGAAGCATCTTTATTAGGCAGGAAAGAGTTCTCTTATAATTGTATGTAAAGGACAAAGAAGAAGACACTGTGATCAAAGTATTGTTATAGATGCAACTGTGTGCTTTTTTTTTTCTTTTAGGTTTGTCCATATTTTACAAGGGCATGTCAAACAAGTAAGTAAACTGAATCATTGTCAACTCATATATTTACCTGATGATAACCTTACCCTGCCAGAGATAATTAGCCTCAATTATTTTGGTTAATTTTTATAGGTATGTCACACATTCATATAACTTCTTCCTGTTCCCTACCACATTTGGCCAAATGGATTCCGAGTTCTCCTTCCAGGCATCTAGCATTCAGTTCCTGTCTCGTTATGGTTTTGACTATAATAAGGTATCTTTTTTGTTATTTAATAGAGTAGACAGGGTTCAAGTAGGAAAAAAACTAAATTTGGATTTTGCCTTTAAAATGATGTTGAAACCCAGTATAGTAAAATATGTTTTAAATGTTTAATTTCTAATTGAATGGTATAGGAAGGTAATTTTTATCACTGTCAACATCCCAGGGTCCCTTGAGTTGCTTCATTCTTTCTGTGAGGTCAGAGCAGGGTTCCTATCTCAGAAGGAGAAGAGCCAGCATTTGATCAAGACTCCTCAGTAGGGTTTGTAGCTGGCCACTTCCCCAAAGGAAGGTAGAGGTAGTCTGGGAAGGAAGAGGTTTTAAGGATTCCAAGCCTTCTAGTTGTCTATCACTCTGTCAAAGTAGAGTAATTTAGACCAGCCTTTTTGATTGGTATATACAGTATATAATACTCTGCTATTGTGATCCATGGGAGAAAATGGTTCCTTCCTCCATTCTTCTTTCAATCAACAGCTTGCAAGACTTTAGAGCTTATCAGATTACTTGACCACAGATAAGATGAGCTGTGCTTATCAACTGAGTAGAAGCAGTTGATAAACAGTTCCATTTTTTAGTTTTAAAAAAACACGTGAAATTTTGTATGAATACCTTATGATTTAATATATGAATATGTACATGTAGTTACTATAAGCCAAGTTCACCTTGAGAGAACCTTTTTTTTTTTTTTTTACTTACCCCTAGTACATGATTTTCTCCTAAGTTAGGATAAAAGATCTTGATGCCTGACTTCCATGCTATGTAATGTTACCTATTTGCCTTTAGTTTCTTAAAGATGGAATCCCATATATGAATGAAACACAAGAGAAGAAACTTCAGCATCTATTATCTGGTAATTGGATAGTCCAAAGGTAAATCTCTTCCACACTATTGCTTTTGTACTAATGTTGGGTTTTTCCCCTCTGGTTCTTTATGTGCTTAAATAATCAGAGTAACAGGATTCTGTTTTTAGAACAGTAGCTCTCAACCAGCGGCACTCTACAACTGAGATTCAGAAGTAGTCTAAGTGGAACTTAGGTTAAGTCATTTAAAGTTTTCAAAATTTAAATGATAAACATAACAATAGGAGGCCTATAACATATAGATATCCTTCTTGGAAAAAGTAGGGGCTGTGTTTATATTGTGATGAGACTCAGGTTCTTTGACAGAATTATTGGTGAGCCTAGGATAGATTAAGAAGCAATTCCCTAAGAGATAAAAGACCCATGGCCTTAATTTCAGGCACCCTCTCCTCACAACTTTCCTCTAATTGTCCTCCATTCTTCCTACATTTTTGTCTGTATCCCTACTCACATGTCTGTGGCCATTTTACTTCCCTAGTCTTGGAAGCTCTTATTCTTTATTTAACCTCTAACTCAGAGTATCTGTTCTTTCACATCTACATTATATGTCCTGGGCTGTATTCCCCACTGGGCAGCTGACTACTCATATATTTCCCACCTCCTACCTATGCACTACCTGTTCTGCTCTTCTCCTTTTTGTTACACTTTTGCTAGAGATTGATTCAATCTTCTCCATTGCAGATATATAACATTATTAATAATTATTTACAACAAGAAAAGTAATCGGGCTACTAATAAATCATTATGAAGCATTGTGTGAAGGCATTTTGTTGTATGAGCATTGGTGTCTAGGTTACCATTCTATCTGACCACTAAAGGTGTGGCCATTAGAGGGTATCAAGGCTGTTATTTGCTTTGGCCTCTAGAAGTGGCCAAGTGATGGAATGGAATTATGAAGGCGAAGCTCAGGGAGATAAGCATTTTCTTAGCTCACCGGAACCGCATGGG